TGTGATGTCCAAAGAGCTGCTTGTGATTCTGCACAAAGGAGCCAGCCTTTCTTTAGTTTTTACATTTTGCAGAACAGGAACAATGGCCTTCTTCTGTATCCATAAAAAAACAAGCAAACTTTGAGTCCCTCCCCTTGGCCAACAGGTTGTAAAACTGTGACTGATCAGGAGGGAAAGATGAGAAATAGCCATGGAGCCTTGGCCCACTTTTTCACAAACTTAGGAGCTGTGGTTCAGACTTGGGTCCCACATTCTTAGCATCCCATGTTCTTAAAGATTGAGGTGGGCATCTTCAGACCAAGCAAAATATTACTTAATGCATTTAGCAATGCTTCATCTTTCCAAAATTGGGGGCTTGGCTAGATTAGGGAGATTTCCCCCTCCCCCCCCACCTAAGGGATTTGATATAAGATTGTTTAAATCCAGGGCAGTAGCAAAAAAATTACCTAAGACCTATAATTTTGTGGCTGGTCTAATCATAGTGCCAAATGTTGATCAGAAAGCAGAAAGACCATGACTTTACTTTTCCTGGTGAGTTTCATTCATTTTTTTTTTTTCCCAGCACCTTCTATGTTTTTTGGCTCTGGAAATGTAGTGATGAGACACAGCTCACTCATGGAATCTAATTATTTGAGTTAAACCCAAACCACATGTTTAAGTTGCCCTTAGAGGCTCTGAAAATTCCTGTGCAGCAGGATGGGAATCTAGGATTGAGTCCAAAAGCTCATTCCAGGTAGGGGGAAATATTACTAAAATGGCAGAGGGGCAAGATAAACATTGCATTGTAATAGCTGGTGCCCAGCTGATCATGAGAAGGCTACCATAAGGTGGGCCTGTGAAGTTGTCAGGGTTCTATCTCCAGCGTGTGGTGGCTTCTGTAGGGGAGTCCAAGTAACTAATCATCAATTCCTTTTTATTTTTTCGCCCCAAATAAGGTTGAGCCATTCCCCGCGTGACCCCTACAATGAACAGATGCTGGCATCTTCTTGGTATAGTGAACTGGGAGGTGGCTAGCAAGAGAGAAGATAGAGGACCCAAGGATTATGATAGTTTTTAAGGTTGTGGAAAGTGGTATGACCTTGGTTGCATCCTATCAAGTCTAGCCATGACAGAGATGACCAGCCCTCTTAGTTACTTTCAGGAGTAGCAATTTACTTTGGTTACTGGCCAGTATCATTGTGTCTGCTTTTCCTTCTCCTCCCAGCTGGACCCTCCTCCTGGGAGAGGTGCCAGTCAAAAGAAAATCAAATGCCCACTATCTTAATCCTATTTTCTCTTATTGCTTTCCACAAATCAAATACACCCTGAAAAGGTACATAAAGACCCCAAACACCATTATAGGCTGGCATAACTTTAGGAACTGCCTTTTTAAAAAATATACTTTTATTGATTTCAGAGAGGAAGAGAGATAGAAACATCAATGAGAGAGAATCACTGATCTGCTGCCTCCTACATGCCCCACACTGGGGTTTGAGCCCACAACCTGAGCATGTGCCCTGACTGGGAATCGAACTGTGACCTGCTTCGTAGGTTGATGCTCAACCACTGAGCTATGGTAGCCAGGCAGGAACTGCCTTTTTAAAGCTGCAGAGGACAATCAGATCCTTTTCTGGCTCAGCTCTTATGTGAAACTCAATCCTGAGCACTAGCTTTATAACAAAAATCCCTGTCCTCGTGGAACTTAAAAGTCTAGACTAACAATCAAAATAATAAAGTAAAATAGTAGGTTGAGCCATATAAACTGACCATTTATTCAGGTTAAAAATAAGGTCAAATATTGACAGTTTTATATGACTCAAAGTAATATGGTCTGTGTTTGTAATAAGTGCTAAGAAATAACAAAGCAAGGAAGGAGAGCATGCAGGGGAGAGGTAAGTGGTTGAAATTTTAAATAGATTGGAACAGAAGACCACCCTGAGGAAGTGGCATTTGAAGATGACCTGGCAGGAGGGCACAACTGATGAGAGGAATAGCGAGCACAAAGGCCTGAGTATGCCTGATGTGTCCAAGGAAGAGTCAGGTGGCCAGAGCAGAGAGCAAGGGTGTAAGAGGCAGAGGGGAGTTTAGACAGGTAGTAAGGAGTTGGGTCACATGGGGCCTAAAGGCCAGAGAGAGGGAGCTGGATTTTACTCTTGAGAGATGGGAAACGGTAAGGGGCTTTTTCTCTGTAATTTTACTAGTTCACAGAAGATTATGCTCAGGTGATGTTTGTGCTTCACTAAGGGATGCTTGTTAGGACCAGAACAGCTGCTCAGAAGCTGTGCTGGGCTCCAAGAGCAGTGGAGAGTCAGGACCTGGGAGGTGAGGCCGAAGTGTGGCAGTCACCTGAGGCACTAAACTGTCTGGAATTCCTTTACTAGAAGGGCCTTTTCTAAATACCCAGATTGATGATAGAGGTGACTTTCATTTTTTTGCTTACCTGTAGGCCCTCTTTTCTTTCCCTTACCAGACATGGGGACCATGCTAATGACAACTCTGATGAATGCAGGGAGCAGAGGTCAGCAACCAGGATAGGGTAGACAGCGGCAACTTCTCTGCTCCGTGGAGAATTTGGATAAGGCACTGTGTTTGTCTAGGCTGGCTGCCCAGGTTGAGAGCGTGAGGTTTCAGCACACATCACAGCCACTAAATAGAGACATGCCACAGTCCACTATTTATTACCCTCCCGTGTGGAATGCTCTGTGGGCTTATAAATATTCAAGCTGAGGCTTTTGCCTAACTCATAAGCATGGCACGCTTATATGATGTCTCCCTATTGTCATTCACATTTGGCCAATAGCAGCTAACTAGATTTTCAGATGGCCTGAAGAATTTTGGGAACTTTAGCTGAGCTATCATAAAAGGAAGCACCTAAGAGAGCTAGGAAGAACTAGAGTGAATGTTCCTGGCTGTACTCGTTATTTTAAGCCTGCCTACTTCCCCAAAGCATCTGAGACAACCAAATTAAGGTATTTTGTGAGTCTGGCACAGGATAGCAGAGCTGCTATGTGAAAACAAAATCCGTGCTTTCTGTCCTTATCATATTAAAATGCATTTATTTTGCTTACTGGACTTGTTTAAGCCATGTAATACAAACAAAATGTGTAACTAATATTTAATTGGAGCCCCAATTAAAATACGAACACTCTGGTCTTTATAAGGCAGAGCAGTTCATGCTTCCTTGCCTGGGGCCTGCATGCCAGAGAGCACCTCTGAACCTAAGTCCTAGGGTGGTAACTCAGGACCTGAGGGAGAAAGTACAAGGTTCCAGGTACCTCGCTTGGTGATGTTTCCTAGGGAACAAGGTGGGGATGAATTAGGACTTATCACAGGCTTTGGGAACATAAAAAAATTAGCTCAGTAATTTTTGGATCTCCCAGCTAAGTAAGATCTGTTCAGATAGGATGGTTTTGTCATTCAAGGGAAGTAAATCGTAACCTGGGTTCTCCTCTCTCCCCAAATCATTACACCTTTCAAAATATAACCTCAAAAATAAACTGTACTGGGTATGGGAGGGGTCTGAAGACAAAAACTATGCCCTGTTGTCAGGTACTAGTCTATGTCCCAGTTCTGTTGTTATTGCTGTTATCGTTATGGATATAGAAAGTACTCTGTACATACTTCAATACTCACAGCCACCTTATGAATTAAACATTAGCTCATGTTACAGGTGAGGAATCATATTTAGGTTAAGATTTTCTAAGGTCACCCAGTTTATAAATGTCAGAGCTGAATTCAAACCTCTATCTTAATCCCAATTTTGAGCTCTTAACTACTAACTGATCATCTCTCAATTTAGTGAGTCTTTGCTGTGGTCATTTTCTTACTGATTTGTGTTCTAGCTCACACTAGACCATAAAGGCTTTTTTGCTATGTGATTTCTATTTCTAGCCTTGGAATTGACCCCAGACACTCAGACCAAGACTGCTGATTCAAGACCTTGCATATTTTAGGATATCAACACACTCTCCCCTGCCTGCCTTATCCTCTATGCTCTTAGTCGCTTCTAATAGCATCATTTCTAGGTGCCTCAATCTGCTACACCTTTCATTTATGCTTCCCAACACTGGATGGCATTTCCTTAGCTACATATCGCTGCCTCCCAGCACTCTGACCTAGAGAGAAATAGGAGGTTGCAGGGTTACAAAGCTTTTGTGAAGCACCCTTCTACAGAAAATGAGCATGGGAGCAGATTTCCTCTATTGAATCCCTGCTGGAAAGTTCCCTGGGGCCTTTAGACTAGAACATTGGGATTAATTTGGAAAGTAGTGAACTGCCAGGGTTGGTGAGAAGATACTATCACAGGATGAAGACAGCTCTATGAAAGTTGTGACCTGTGGTTTTAAACACTGTCCTTCATCTTCCTTGGCACCTAATATTATACTACCACAGATTCAGCCATTATCTTTCTGTGGGGAAGCTGCTTTAAGTAACTTGGAAGCTTTGATACATTAAACCCAGAGAATTTCAGTAAAGGTAGGAAAAGAAAATTGAACCAAGACTCGTTTATGAGAACTCCTTTGTATTTAAAAATCAGGTCTTTATAATCTTATTAAATATTTTCAATTTGGCAGGCCATAGGGTCTGTAGCAACTACTCACTCTGCTGTTCCAGCACAAAAGCAGCCCTAGGCAATCCACAAATGAATGGGCAGAGCTGTGTTCCAATAAAACTTTGTTTACAAAAACAAGGCCACAGTTACTTGGCCTTAGTTTGCCTATTTCTGCCTTAGACCAAGGGAAATGCTCACCTCAGTAAGAGCCCTGTGAGAAGAAACAAGTTCATTTCCTTTCCTAGAAGGGAGATGATTAGCGTACATTCCACCATGTACAGAAGAGGCTAAAAATATTTCCGATAAAGTGATAATGGTTCTTGATCAGGCCAGATTAGTTGTATAAAACAGCCCCTAACACTTGCTATTGCAGAAAGGATGCCATAGCCCAAAGCAGGTAAATCAAGTAACAATGACAACAAATCTTGGAGCCACGGGGTTGTCACCTCTTTTCTCTTCTGCCCTGCAGGCCTGTTCCTTATCCTCGGCTTGATACTCTACCCTGCTGGCTGGGGCTGCCAGAAGGCCGTTGCCTACTGTGGACACTATGCATCGGCCTATAAACCTGGAGACTGCTCCCTGGGCTGGGCCTTTTATACTGCCATCGGTGGGATGGTCCTCACCTTCATCTGTGCCATCTTCTCTGCACAAGCAGAAATTGCAACCTCCAGTGACAAAGTACAGGAAGAGATTGAAGAGGGTAAAAACCTCATCTGCCTCCTTTAATTTGGAAGAGACATTTATACCATTTTCTTCCTTGTTTAACCTTGTGAAACAGTTCACCTCTGGTTTCATCATCCGAATCAAGTGAAGAACTAGCCTTTACCTACCAAAGCCACATTCCACAGCCCTGAGCCTTTACAGAACCAATGAGAGGCAACATCCAGCCAAGCAAAGTGACTGCACAGGAGGGCCACAGTGCAAATTGTAAGAGACGGGAGATGAAAACATAAACCCTGACACGTGTCGGACAGCATCGCCCCCAAGGACCCAGTGAAGGAGAATGATCTCAACCATGAAAGCAGCATTTCTCTGGTAACCGAAGAGACTGTTAGCCAGATTTGCTGGCTGTTTAGAGGTGTGGGATTTTTGTTTCCTTCTGGTTCTTTCATCAAGTGTCTCAGTTGAAGACTACACACTTACTATACACTTACTGGAAGTGGGATGTTCGTCTGCTAAAAGAGATCAGAGCAAGACACAAACGCTTTCTTAGCTCACCACAGGGGCCAAGCAGGGACTGGAATTCTGTTGTGGAATATATTGGAAGCTGTATTCCAGGGTCAGCTGAATCAATTGAACTGTCGCTTCAAGATTAAAGAAAGAATAAGGGCCTGTAAGATCATGAGAATAAAAATACAAAATCCTGCTAGTGGAGACAAATTCATTCCGCTTCCCAGCAGCCAAGCTAACGCCAGTACTGGCCCAGCCTCCTCTTCCACCAGAGATCACATGTTTTTCTCCTAGGCTTGGGATTGCACTGATTGCCAAAGGAAACCTCACTGTTTCCTCATTCCAGGACAGAGGTCTCCAAACCACATGTGGCGCATTCAGATGTTCACTGGGAGAAACTGCCAGAACCTCAGCACTTACGAGGAGACCTTTTCCCACTGTTTGGTAACCATGCTGTAGTCAGCTATATTTCCAACCCTAACAGCAGCAAAATGCCATTCTTTGCATTAAAAAAAGAACTAATCATGGGATTTAAGGTTTTTTAGTTACTGGTGATCCTGAAAGCAGGCTAAAATAACATTAAATTGTTGCAAATGCTGAGCTGCACCAAAGGCTTCATTCCCAGGACAACAGAGTAGAAAGTTAATGCAAAATGAGTTATAGCACCTGCCTATACCTGTTTACAAAAAGAATAAATTACCACTATTAAAAAAGTTTTGGGTGCTTTTAATCTAGTTTCTATAAATTACCAATATCATTGATTCAGGAAAATGGTATTAACCACCACCTCATATGGCCAGAAAGATATTATCCTAAGGTCAAAATTGAAGAATGATACAGAAACATTCTTTAGCAACTTAAGCAAGTGAGATGCCAGATTTCTGGAAGGATTCTGTCTCTTTGCGTTATGAATCTGCTCACTTGAGGGCTTGCTTCATTTTGAAAATTTAACAATTACATGCCTTGTTTGGGCACGGTATTATGTTCAAGTGCCACCAGACATAGAACTCTGATTCAGATTTTATAACCATGTCTAGCGCAGAAAAACTAATTCCTTTATGTGGCAATGGAATGGAACAACTAAAGTCTTATTCTATTCTGGTCTTTGGCCTATACTAGAAACCATCTTTTCTTATAGATTAAGAGTTATGGGCGGAAGAAGGAAGGGTATGGAACCAGGCCTTAATGAGTTCACCACTCTTAGTCCAAGGTTCAGAATAAGCAAAATGTGAATCCTATGACTTTCCTTAATAAGAGGAGTACATCCATAGCCTCATAACAGGTTATGCTTCCTGAACCATTCTCTAAGCTATCTCTGAGACCACACAAAAATAGATTATGGCAGCCACTGGATTTGGCTCCTGTACCTGATGGAGTGTTTATATGCTCTAACCAAGCCATGATGCCAGCAAACCCTGGCAATAATTTTCATTTTAAAAAAGCAATTCACTTCATCGGACAAATACTCTGATAAGACACCATTTTTTCTTCAATGTTGATCATCAGAAGATTCACTCTTTTTTCTGTATAAGATAGACTCTATAGAGAGTCTATAGAGCTATTTCTTAACTCTCTGATAGGGAACCCATTTGTGGAATGTATTGGAAGCTGTATTCCAGGGTCAGCTGAATCAATTGAACTGTATAAGATAGACTCTATAGAGAGTCTAAGGAGCTATTTCTTAACTCTCTGATAGAGAACCCATTTTCTAACATGAATTTTACATTCTCACTTTACAGACAAGTTGTCATAGCCCAGAGGATCCCTAGTGCCCGACTGCTCCTTGGTTAAGGTGGCAGTGTATCCCTAGATCACCTTGACAATAGAAGTCACCTGTCAGTGTCTACTTCAGTCTCAATGCCACAGAAGACAAAAAGCATACGCACACACGAAAACCCAAACCACTGAAACTACTCCAACACTGACCTAGTAAGCGGTAATGTTGGGCCTTTTAAACCTTCAGTTTGTTAGCCAAGCTTTGGTTGGGATGAATGGAACATTCAAAATCATGCAAATATAGGCCAAAACTGCATAGCTGGTTAAAAAACACACACACAAAAACACTGAATATGAGAAATATGTTGAAATAAATGTGTACAAAATAATTAGACTGATTGTTGACCCATACCTATTTTTCTAAGTTCTATCACCTAATTGCCTCAGTCTAAAAATCTAATACACCTGCACCATTACAACTACCAGAAAAGTCTTATTTATTTTTGCCTGCATTTGTGCTTAAAGTTTTGTGATGGCTGGGCTTCTCAATGGACTCAAAAAAGGCAGAAATACTTGCTTTGGATTCTGTGGATTCTTTAAACCTGTGTGCTAATTCAACAATGTTACATTAATTGTGTAAGGGTTTTTGAATAGTTCTCAGACATCTGTGGTGAAATGATCTTTGTTAAAACATGTATTCTGTAAAGTGCCATAGTCTTTTTTTTTTATGTGTAGCGTATTTAAAATATATATGTATTATACATACACAAGTCTGTGTGAAAGATGTGCAATAACAAAGGTGTATGTATGTTTTGTTTTTTGGAAACTGGACAGGCGTCAGAACAGGAATTGTTTCTGTTTTGGCAAAGGAGAGTTAAACAATTTTGCCTATATGGCCTAGTATTTAACCCATAATGATTTTAATGCTACACAAACTTATGTGAAGAAAAGACTGGTATGAAATCATTTTTTCTGGGTCTAAATTAAAATAATCACTAGATTTATGTGAACGTTAAGCTGTCAAGCAGGCCCAGTTAATGCTAGTCTTTCATGTGAAATGTGAAGCTGCCCTTTTGCCTTTTCTGTTAGTGTGATAACTAGTAGCTGGTACATAATCACTAAGGAGCTATTTCTTAACATGCTTTGATAGACCATGTTAATGCTAGACCACTATTTAAGGGCTGATCTCACACCTTCTTAGCCTTAAGAGTCTGGCTTAGAACAGACCTCTCTGTGCAATAACACGTGGCCACTGGAAATCCCTGGCCTGCATTTGTATTGGGCAGCAATGACTCCCAAGGGCCAAAAGCATTACAGGCACGACTGGGATTTCTTCTGAGACTGTGGTGAAACTCCTCCCAAGTCTGGGGGGAGTCATTAGGTGCTTTAGAGGAACTCAGCACCACTTGATAATTCAACAGCCACTTGAGCCAAATAGGAAATTGTCTTTACCGCTGATGGACTCAGTTTGAGCCTTCAAATTTGTGGTTATTCTATTATATTGTAAACTAATACATTGTTTGTCTAGCATTGATTAGGTCCCTGTGCATATGTATTTTCACAACATGTTGCTCCCTTCCTTTCCCCAGATCTGAATTAAACCAGATTTTGCAAACTCATTTTGATTCTTTTAAGTCTAAGTATATTTCTTTCAATTATGATGTATATAATTTGATCAGGGAAAAAAAAATCAGGTATTTCAACTATTCCATTCATTAGTAACAGATATATATCCCTACTTTTGGTTAGTTTTAACTTCAAAATAGGTACTGTATATATTTATTCCTCAGAGAAGCATCAATGTCATTATAAAGAGGGGGAGGATCCTTTTAAATACTATACAAATGTCTTAATTTTAAAGTAAAACTAAGAAATATAAAAATTCTCCAAAGCAATCAAGGCTTTACAAAAAAAAAAAAAAAGAGAGAGAGAAAGAAATATGTATAATAATGACAAAGAAAGGGGTGTGCTGAAGATCACACTCTCCTATTCCAACAAAAGCACCAAAATTAAAAGCCAAACATAGAGCATTTCCACATTTCCTAAAGGTAATCTGCCCATAAAGAGCCTTATCCAGAAGCCGAATTCTCAAAGATAACACCAAAACCTTTTCATAACTCTTACTCAACCCTATATCTCATGAAGCACTCACTTGATGTACGAAAATGGTTATTTCTTCTCCTGATCTAGGGCCTATGACACCTGAAACTACATTTATGCTTTGGTTTCTAAACATACCTGACAACTTCCACATTTCTAATAGAAATCAAAATTAAAAGCTGACAGAATTATCCAAATCACTAAAAAAAATTTCAAACAAATCATGATCTAAATTATATGTGCAAAATTGGAAATTTCAAGTTACTTTTTCAACTGTTACTACATCATTCTGAAGAGTTAATCCACAAGAAAGGACTCCGGCTTTAAATTTCAGCAGAGACTGGGAACCTTCGAGTGTGCCCCCCACTCATCCTTAGTTTTTTACTTAGCAATTTTGCTGCTGGTTTAACTTGCCATGACAGCCCTTCCAGAACACATTCGACTTACTCCTAGTTCTCCTTAATGTCTTTGCTTTACATAAAGCCATGTAAGCACAGTCTTGACTACGCTTGACATTTTCTTTAAGTGGGTTATTTTGGTAGTTTCAAATAATTCAGTACCTTTTTCAACTCAAACACTAAAGAATAAGATCATTAAAGCAAACTTTTGCCTACTCTTTAAATCAGCAAGAAACAATAATTGTCTTTATTTCATAATCCCTATCAGCTGCTTAGTCATGTGTTTGGGGCCATCCTACTGCTGTCCCCACCACTATCTTCCTTGCAGCTTCCTCCTCACCCTGAAGAGTTCTGCAAGATAAGTCTTTAAGACATGAACTGTTCACTTTGCTTAGGGATACAGGATATAGATAATAACATAAGTAAATAAGAGGAAGTAGCAAAACCACATAGGAAAAGAAAATTTAAAAAATTAGATATTAACAGTTCTTTGGTTTTTTGTAGTCAAATCGCCTCAAAAGTCTAACATCAGAAAGCAAGAAGTTCACCGACGGCCTGTGTTTGGGAAAAACCACTATAATGCATTCTCAAGAGAAGAAAGCCTGAGTTAAAGCAAGTGACAGCAAAGATAATTATATGAATTAGACCACATGTGTCAAACACAAGGCCCGCGGGCCAAATCCGTCCCGCCAGGCCTTGCAATGTGGCCCGCACCGCGCTGTCATCACTGCACTCCGCTGCGTTTCCATCACAATGACAGTTTATGACTGTTCAGTAAACCATTCGGCCCGTGATTTAGGCTGGATTTTAGATTTTGGAAGGCAGCTATGCTCACCACTATACCACCAACGCTGCGGCAGGATTTTAGATTTTGGCCCCTTCTCTGATTGAGTTCGACACCCCTAAATTAGACAAATGTCAGGGGGAAAGAATGGATAGTCAGGTGACTGACTGGAAGGGGTGAGGGCAGAAAAGGAAAGAGTCCAGCATGTCTCTCAGGTATTTTGTTTGGGTACTGGATGGAAAGTGATGCCACCACCAAGACCAGGAATCCAAGAGAAACAGAGACAGGTAAGGTAGGAAGGTCCAGCCTAGGCTGCCAATGGAGAAGTCCTAAGTGCAGCTAGGAATATACTGTGGAGAGAAGACCAGGTTGGAAATGAGAGATTTGGGAGCCATCAATACACTTGGGCAGACAGCAAAAGTTTTTAATTATTGTGCACATTCTGTGTGCAAGTACTGTGGTAAGCACTTCATATAATTCATTTATTCATGAAAACCCTATAAATAGAAACTATTATCCTCATTTTATAGATAAACTAGAGGTCTGGTGCATGAAAATTCATGCACTGGAGAGGGGCAGGAGAGTCCCTCAGCCCAGCATGCCGCCTCTCACAGTCCAGGAGCCCTCAGGGCAGGAGGAAACCAGGTGATCTGGGGAAGGCAATGCCCCCATCACCCCTCTGCTGCTGCCACTCCTGGCAGCGCAAGCCTCGGCTGGCCCTGGTTACCTGAGCCTCGGGCAGCCCTGGGCGGCTAGACAGCCAACATCCAAGGCTTGCCTGTGCCTCGGGCCAGTTCTGGGCAGCTAGGAGGCTGAAGGTGGGTCTGGCCACAATGCATACCTGCCAACCTCCCCCCCACCCCCCACAGGGCTAAAAGGACAGAGGGACTCTGGCGGGACTGAGGGGACTGGGCACTGCCATCTTGTGGCTATGGGTGCCACCACCTTTTGTAATGGTGTGATGGTCAATTTGCATATTCCCTCTTTATTAGATAGGATTGTCAATAAGTAACTGAAATTAAGTAATTTGTTCCAGATAAACAGCTAACTAAGGCCCAAATACAGGTTTGACACCAAAGTCTACATTCTCAAACAGCTGTCATTTCCTTCTACCTGGGATATTTAGGGTGAAAAGCAGGTCCCTACAAAACCCTGAGTTTACTACATCTCTGTAGTAAACTGCTAAACAACTTCCACTTATAATTCCAAAAAGGCCACACCAAAGGATGATAACTGATGAACTTGCCATGACAGTCCTTCCGGACTGCTCTTTCTTCCCTTTTCGGAGAAAAACCTAGTAATTTTTCATACTTCAGCAGATGGACCATGTGTCTCAATTTACTCAATCCTAAAAACAGCCACTAAAAATCCATTGAGTATATGACAGTAGTAAAACAAATGACAGTTTGACAGTTTTTGTTATTTTCTTATAATCTCTTATCCAGGATAAGCAGCTGTTATAATTACATAAAAGGCATATTTTCTTCAGAGTTAAACTAATAATTAAATAAGGATTTGTCTTCAATTAAAGTTTCTCCAAACACACACACAAAAGCAAAAGACAGTTTAGTAAGTTAATACTGCCGAAGAGCAGGCAGCAGGTACTCACATGTTATGGAGGTAGGCCTTGGTCTGGAGACATCAGAAATATATGCTGTAACTTTTTCTTGGTTGATTTTTTCCCCCTAGGATCCACTGTCCCTAAAAGATGGATACAAATTACTGGAAATGTGGAAGGATGGAAAAGAAACAGGGACTTGGAGAGAGTTGGCACCCCAGGGTAGAAGCAGCCTCACACCTGGCAGGAGTCAGGGGACATGGGTCTAGCTGCCTCTCCCTGAAGGGACAGGCATTCTGTTCTCTCAGGATAATTTCCTACTCTATAAAAATGGGGTCAATAATAGAAATCACATCATAGGTTTGGTACGAGGAGTAAAGAACCATAAGTAAAGCATTTATATAGTCTCTGATATACAGTATGCCCTCAATGACTAAAAGTAATTAGAAGCAAATTAGAAAATCTTCCGTCTGTCCAGACAGAATATAATTTAAAATTGATTTCAAAAATTAAGAGTTGTTTTAAAAAATTGTGAAGAATAACATCACCTGGTGTTAAAACCAATCTAATTTTACCTACAGAGGCTCAATGGCTGGCTACCTAAGGCCACCTTTTCTTTTTCCATCTTTAGCTTCGAGCTTTCAGGAAGTAGATGATTTCACTGTGGATGCAGGATACCTGGTCACTCCTAGTTATCAATACAAAACAAAATACACACATAGAATAAAACAGGTAGTGTTGGACGAGTCCATCTATGGGAAACAAGAATGCTCAGAAAATAAACCATCTTGGGGGGGCAGGGGGCAATGGAAAGATATGTACACATATAATACCTTAATAAACCACCTGATTATCAAAACCTACCATAGGGAAGGCTTTTTAAAAAGGGGACATCCAGTGTTGGTAATAAAGAGGTCCTTTTCTACACTGCTGATGGAGATATAAATTGATACAATTTTATGGAGAGCAATTTGGCAATGCACATCAGAGGTCTCAAAAAGTGAGCCTATGCTTTGACTCAGCAATCCTAAGAAAAGAAAAAAAGCCTGGGTCCCCAAATTTAGCAACAATATATTCCTTGATAAATTATCCTATTTAATAAAAAAGTAATATGAAAATTAACCATCATTCTGTCACAAAGATGGTGGCTCCCATAGCCACAAGATGGCAGCGCCCAGTCCCCTCAGCCCCGCTGCTGGAGAGTCCAGGCCTGTCGGCCAGGCAGGGGGCAGAAGGGGGGCAAGTGGCAAGGCTGCCTCTGGAGTGTCTGGGCTTTGCTCAGGCCAGGAATTATCCCAAGGAAGCCCTATTCTTGCAGGAATAATCCCAAGGAAGCCCTATTCTTGCAGGAATCTTCCTGCAATGGGCCTGTAGTTCATAATAAAAAAATTAAAAATCAGAACCTGAAGGAATAACAGGACTTCAAAAATAGTTTATGATACATGTATATAAAGGTAGCTAGCTGTATAGCTATTAAATGTTATAGAAATACATTCAGCTTATCCTCTATAATAAAAGCCCAGAGACTGAACTGCGGAACGACCAGAACGACTGTTTGACCAGTTGCTATGACGCACACTGACCACGAGGGGGCAGATGCTCGATATAGGAGCTGCTTCCTGGTAGTCAGTGCACAACCACAGTTGAAGCGCCACTCGGCTGACTGGAATGAGCAGCTGCTCTCACTGCAGACCCCAGGCCAACAGGCAAGAACCCAGGCTGTAATCATCGCTTCCTGACCCCAGGCTCTGGACACCTGCAGGCCACACAGAGCCACCACTGGGCTCACAGAGCTGACTCCAAAGGCTGGGAGGCAGGTTCGTGGTTGCTGCAGGTCTGAGGCCTACCCTGTGGCCTCTCAGTGCTATTGTCCCTGGGCCCAGCCCCGACCATGTCCTCTGGAGAGGTGAGTGCTCTGGCTCCATAGAAGATGCCGGACAAGGAAGCAGCCACTCAGAGGGCGGGTCCACAGCTGCTCGGCTGACCGAGGTGAGTGGTGCTCCCACAGCAGCTGATCCCCTGCAGGCCACGCCCCCCACCAATGCACAAATCCCGTGCACCCAGCCTCTAGTGTGAAATAAAGTTCAACATATTATTTACATCATAACTGAAAAAAGATTACAAACGTTTGTGTTCGTTAAATTTCTCCAGTTGAAAGTAACAGGAAACCAACTCAAGGTAGCTCAGGAAGAAAACAAAATATAAATATTACTGGGATTAATGGGATGAAATATGGGTGAGCAGTCAGGCCCCATACAGGAAATGCAAAGCTATCAAGGTCTTTTCTATGTCCTCCTATCCCACTTGTCTTTGATAGCTTGATGGTGACTCTTTCCTCACAGAAGACTATGGTACAGCTAAAACCATCTTGCCACTAAAAGAGTATAGTTCTGGACAAATCTACCCAGGGGAAAAATGTAATGAGCCAAACATGGGTCCACCATGGCTAGATGACATCCAGTTCAGGGGCCCCAAGAAATGGGTTTCTTAGAGCTCGATAAACGTCCCTAAAAGGATCTATTACAATATAGAGGGAAATCTTATTTTTTACTTTTAGGAAAAAAGTTGTCTTCTCAGAAAATTAATAGAAAGCTATAAACCAAATATTAATATTAGTTACTTTATGGGTATAAAATTATGAGCAGCTTTTACTTTCTTTAGCTTATAAATATTTCCTATAATTTATACTGAAGTGTATGAATTTTATGATTCAAAGAGTTAAATATTGCTATGCCCTTAATTCCATAAACTATGTATGGATAAAAAAAGAATGGGAAATATCCAATAAAACATTGGCAGTGATATTCCTAAATGACAAATTATTTTTATTTTCTCATGTATCATTTTCCATATTTTGCAAGTGCTCAGTTTTCATGGAGGTGACTATAACATTGTAGGAATCACCCTTATCACCAGATAAAACACAGTGATTTGGGCAATTTTTGCCCTCCAACCCCCCCAAAAAAACACCTGAAGAATCATACAAATTGCCAATAGTAACAACTACCACAACCATGATTTATCTTGAGAATCATTGACCCACAAAATATTATTAAAGTTATGGAGAATTGTGGGATTATATTTAAGTGTTTAAAAATAAAATTTGCATACCATTATTTTATAAATTAGAACTATTTAAATGTAAAGAAGATAATACATAATGTATTCTCTGGACAGATAACAGGAAACATTACTAAGTAGAAGAGACTTAACTATTTCCTGTCCCCATTAGAGAAAAGATAAAATGGGTTTAATGGCAAGATGGTTTTAGTTACACCATCAGCCATGCCAAGCCCAGAAAGATATGAGCTGAACAAACCAAGATTTGGATAAACATAAAATTTAATACTTACTGCATTGCTACATGGTGGCTTCCATGTCCCTTGCCATTTAAAAACATTAACAGTGCCAATGAAAATTCTACAGTTTGTAAGTTTTGTCCTATCAAAATCACAACGTTAAATTGCAAACATGGCACCCTAAGGATTGGTAAGAAAACAAGAGAAGAGTCTTTTCCTATTTTTCTAGAATCTTTCAATAAAAGATACTATACCTACTAGTATCTAGGACAGAACAGTTTCACTACCTGGCTTAGTAAATTTTGATAGATTTCTTTCTTGCTCTCTATATATTTAAAATAGGTTTAAAAATACCAATCAATAATCTCTAATGGAAATACTTCTTTCCATAATATTAATATTTAACCATTGAGATACAACTTTTTAGTTTAATAAACAAGCACTTAAAACAACTCTGTTTTAAAATGTATTATTGTACGCTAAATAAATTTATACTATGCTACTTCAAAATTTATCAAATAAGGTATTTTTTATTTTTAACCATCATTAATTATTTTTACATTAACCACTTTTATTTCACTCCTAAAGGTCTTAATCACAAGGAATCAACAGATTCCTCTAAACATATTCCTTAAGAAAAAAATGGAAGGTGTTAAGTGAAATGGTGTGTGACAACCATGGTAATTCTAATGGGGAAATATGGGTTAAATGGTAAGTTCTATATAGTAACATTCTAAACATACATTTTTACCAAGAAAGATAAAATTAAATGCTAATGTCAGTGTTTTCAGAAAAAGCTAAAAGCATGCTACTACAAATAATTTACAGAAACAACAAATTTAACAAATTCCCTCAAAAATGCAAACTATACATTATCACAACATGATTTATAGAAGGATATATATACAATGACAATTCAAACTAATGTTTTTAGGTAAACCCAGAAAATTGAAAATGCTGTTCCTCTTTTAATTGAACACATATTTATCAAAATAAGATTCATCATGATTTAACATCTCTTTAAATACCAGTGAAAAATCAAACAGGTATTTTCATTGATACATAAAACAGCGATAGCGAGTTTAGGAAACCAAGTTCACTCACATCAATGACCTACTAATATACCGGCACTTATTCTAACCCACTAGGAAAAATGTGAACCACAAAACACATTTTTCGATTTTAAATCTTTAGGCAGTCTGTGTATATTGACCTTAAAGTGGTCACTTAATATGAGTGTGGCTCATATTCCACTACCTATAAAGGTCTAATGCAAAGAAAGGTTGTCATTTTATGTTGATAACCAGTTTTTATGTTTATTTTGTTTAGCAAATGACGGAATTATACAGATTATTTTTTATATTCAAATGTGGAATTTCTATATACATTAAGCCCTCAGCATGATTTCTGCTTCTGATGTGCTAATGAAGTATTTAAAAATTATACAAACAAACATCCATTAATCAGCATTTTATTTTAGAACACTCTGTCTTAATACAATAAATATACAAAACTTCCAAACCACCGGAGACATGCAACATTAGAGGGACAGATGGAGGGCATTTATATAGAACCATGACAGTCACCATGATGGCAGCGAAATATTACTATACTCACTGACAAAATATACAAACATCCCTACATAAATAATCCAAGTCCCAAATTACAAGTCACTGAGGAAGGATTTTCCAGTGTTCCAACTTCAGTTTTAAATAAAAACAGCCACCACTTAATATTGTAGACTAAAAAATGACATGGGTGCTTACACTGTAAAAAAAACCATTTCATGATTCTGATAATGGTAATGTTAATATGAAGCATAAAACACTAACAAATGCCAATCTTTTGCTGGGGTGAAAATGTGACTATTTACCAATTTTGTTAATAGAAAATATAAGAATTTAAAATCCCAAACCTTATCAATCTGCAAGCATTGCCCTCATTTTAATGCACATTTATGTCCTTAAAAAACAATTCTCTCATAAGCTTATATTAACCCAGATAACTGAATTTATAACAACATTTTCCTCACTTACACAAAAAGATACTGTTGGTTGTAATTATTCTTTGCTATTTAACAATGGAGAGTTCTGTAGGATAAAGGTATTCCTGTACTTGAAGGAAAGTATCTCAGCATTTTTCAAAAGTCTCTTATGATGTAGCTTTCATTTGCACTTTTAAGAAAAAGAAAAATGAACTTGAGATATAAATTAGTAATGGATATAGTGTTCTTGTATTTTGTGGTGAACATTTTCAATATATGTAAAATCCACACTCAATAGAGCACACAGATGAAACAAATTTTCAATAATACTATAGATTCTGAAAAACTACTGGCTTATTTGGTTGAGAAAGTAGGTGGAGATTATCACTGATCAGAAATATTCACAAACAGCTTTAAATTCATACTCTGAACCCTATTTTCATCAAAATAAAATAGATTCCAATTACTTCAATAAAGTCCCAAATAAATCAGATGGAAACACCACTGGAATGGACCTATGTCACCTAGTAGCACTATCATGCGAAGCTTTTTTCTTAAATAGTAAGAACTCATCATCCAGCCCCAGCATGGACTTCATTTTAACTTCAGATTTGGGAAGAAGAATAAAAGTGATTTAACCATTTGTGCCCATATGATTTTTTTTAAGGGATGTGCATTATCAAATAATATAATCCAATAAATGATCCTTATTTAAAATAAAGTTGAATAAATCACTATTATTCTATAATTTTAAATTAGCTAATTACTTGTAAAACACAGTATCATGACTTTACAAATGTACTGAGTCTCTTAATCAGTATTAAAGATGGTTCAAACTTTAACCCAAATATAAGAATTCCTGTGCTGCATAGTAATAATTTTAAAGTGATTATATTCATAATTAATGCATTCAACTGTGTATTTTCTTTCTCGGTGCAAATTAAATGTTTTCTTTTTTCTATTACTAAAAATTTTTAATATATTCAGTCTGTCTCAAAATTTGAAAAACTGATATGTAGTAGAGATTCAATTATATGTAAAATGCCAGGGTCTTTTAAAATTTAATGCCACTAGAGATGAGAGACTAAAAAAATCCCTTAAATACTGTACGTTCTTTATGGACAGGGAGTTAAGACTAGACTTTAATACCTCTGTTAAAAATTACACACATACACACACCCTCCACAAAAAGAGCTGCCAAACGTATTCTCAGTTCCATGAAAAAGAGTAGCCACAGAATATACCAAAGTTTCATACAGTAATATTTTACTATGATATGAATACTGAAAATTAAAAAAAAAAAAAAAGGTATTCTCATCAGTACATTCTATTCCATCAATTTTCCACCTTTTCTTTTGGATAATGCACTACATATTATATTCTCATATTGCACCCCAATACACTTTTATTTAAAAGAAACTATTACAGAAAATCATTTCTAAAATTTTACAAATGACTCCCCTATTGTACAACCATAAGCAGTGCAGAACCCAAAATACTAATTATTTTCATTTAAAAAACGTAGTGCCCATGCAAGATCATAGAATGATATCAAAATATCGGCTACTCTAAAGAAAGAAAATAAAAAGATACAACGAAATGCACATAGGCTCTTCACCTGTGACTGAAACTGCTAATAAAGCAAGCCAATCTAAAAATCCACAAGTCTCTGATGGTCTATTTCTTGCAATATAAATAAGAAAAAAGAAATGAAGCATCTATTTACTGCTCCAATGTGTAATCCTTAAGCCTAAGATACTTGAAAGAATGACTGCAGCTATTACTAAGTACATTTTTAATCATAAGTACCATATTAATTTTAGTGTCTTGTCACTGAAATAATTTTCAGAACATTCATTGCCCCCATATATGGAGAACATTTACTTAGCATGTAATATTTTTTTCTGCAAAGGGGCACTAAAATCTTAAGAAACTGTTAGGTAAATAATAAGACTAGGAAGTTTTTCTGGTTTTTGCCCATGCACAATAGGAGATATACATGCTGTGTGTACTGAACATAAAAATATTTATAGAATATAGTAAATGAAGAAAAAAAGTACAGTCAAAAGGTAATAGTGTATTGTTTGAAGATTCTCTAAATTTGGTTACCCTTGAAAGCACTCTGAGCTGCACTAGTTGCTGCAGAGGAAGCTGCATTTGCAGCTGCGGTCTGGACAGTTTTGTTGGACATCACACCTGATGCGAATTCTTGCTGGGCCTTCTCAAAACTAGCACCTGTTGTGCGATATAGTCCATGTACCTACAGAGGCACAAAAAAGCAGAAGATGGTAAGTTGTCATCTATACATTCACTTTCAATAGCATTTATATATATGAGGAAGGGAGAAGGAGAGGGAGATAGAAATACCAATGATAATTATCATTGATCAGCTGCTTCCTGCATCCCCCCACTGGGTATCAAGCCTGAAACCCAGGCATGTGCCCTTAGCCGGATTTGAACCGGGGACCCTTCAGTTCGCAGGCTGAAGCTCTATTCATTGAGACAAGCCAGCTAGGGCTCAATAGCTCTTTTTTTACAACATGACTCAAAAAAAAGGGAGTAGATTCTAGGCACGATTTCTAAGATCAAAAACATCAGCCATCACATTGACACAAAATATTGTATTTAAATATTTCCTTAACATAGATTTTCCTTTTAATCCCCAATGCAGAAAAAATTATGCCTACACCAAATCAAAAATAATTTAAAGAACTTAATCAAATGAAAAAAGCTTTATTTTCTGCTGTACCTAATTAGTTTGACATAACAAGATACATTCTGACTTTAATACATTAATTTACTACCCTAAACAAATCAAAGAAATATTTTATAATGCTTTATCTACTTCTGTATTGGAGATATATATACCACTGACCATATTATAGTCCTATGACATAATTTTATCATTTAATGTACCAAGTACTATTTATTTATGTCCTCAAAGATACTTCTGCTATCTATTCTGTATACATTTAACATTTTGTGAATGGTCAAATTTTAAAGGATTTACAAAGAAACAATTCTGTGAACTGTCTGTCCATACTGATTTATCACCAAATCTTGGGATTTCTTATAATGAGTAAGGTTTTAAAAATACTCTATTAGCATGTGTTTTAAGATGTATAAACGATGAAGCACATCAATACATACAACATCAGCCACTCAATACAAATTTGAGAAAGGAAATAATAAAGCAAATTAGAACAAATATTTATTATATGCCTACAAACTTGGGGGGAGAGAGAAAGAGACCGAAAATTAAATTTGTAATTATACTACACTGTGATTAGATCTAAATTAGAACCCTGAATGAAATGCAATCAAAGCAGGTTTGGAGGATGGGGGCAGTACATCAAAGTTAGTCCTTTCCCCCAACCTGGATAGGAACTAGTAATTATAGAATAAATGTCAAGTGAAAAAAAAGTAGAATGAGTCAAAGACATTCAAGTTAAGTATGAATACTAGGAAGTCATTTCAAAAAGAATAGAGAGAATAGGCTGATTTGGGATAGTTTCCAAACAGTCATACATTCTTACAAATGTTTACTGAATACCTACTCTAGGCCTGCCACAGGCAGGTGATGATTTGGTTTGGAGCTCAAGAGAGGAATGGGCTAGAGACATGGGCTTGGAAACCACTGGCATATACATGGTAGCTACAGCTCTGACAAATGAAACTGTCCATGAAGAACATGAAGTAGAGGCTCCAGTGCGGTTCCAATTCTTGCGGTTATCCTGCTGGGGCTGAGTACTGAGTTCCATGGAAGCATCTGACCCCGCTGAGCTTCCCAAGCTGCTTAAGCTTTAGAAGCTCTTTCTCTTCACCTAATAATATTGTTGGCTCAACTATGACAGAGTGATAGAGAGGATTACTCTCAACACTGTTAATTTTCATTCACACTAAAAGATGATATTTACATTTTGCTACCAATCCTTTAACAACCTTGAATCCATACAAGATTGATATAGGTACAGTATATTCCTACAAACCCAATCAACATAATACAATGAAGCTGAGAGCTTTTCAGGACCATCAAAAACAAACTGATGTTTGACATTGACATAAGCTATGATGATGAGAGGAGATGTTATAGTTCTTTAGACATATATTCTAAGTGCTGGACCCTCATGACAATGGCCATACACATCAACTGAGCAGTGAAAGAGGACCATGAATTTAAGTATTGCTTCTAGGTATGTTCTAGAACAGTGTTTCCCAAAGTGTGGTATGCGTACCCCCAGGGGTACAGGAAGATTGGTAGGGGTACAAGTTGCACCGGAGTTTGGTGGGGCTATGCATTGCCCCGTCCTTAGCTGCGCCTAATTCTACATTCTCATGAGTACAAGGGGTACTCAGCATTACAAAAATTATAGAAGGAATACACATATGTCAAAAGTTTGGGAAACACTGTTCTAGAAGAAGAGGTGCTCACTTTGGTCTATGATGAATCAGTTAGAAAACTGTCCTCCATAGTACAGTCTGGAATAGTGAAGTATTTGAATATTGTAAAGGATGGTCAAGATATTAAAAAGAAATTATACTAAATTTAAAAAATCACCCTTTTGTCAGAAAATCTATAAACATAATAAATACTTCGAAGAATATACCATTGGTTGGTCAAGATATATTTTAAGCTCGTGTTCCTGAAACAAAATTCATGATGACCTTCAACAAAGCTTCTAAAAGGATCACAGTCTACTTCAGTAATGGGAGCTTTTGAAGGACCATTTAAAGAAAGTAGTCAGGTATCTGAATGACATAAAATATGACAAATGTGGAGCCTGGCTTGAGTGGGAGATCATGCTCCAGTACTGTTTTCCATGGCTGGATATCAATGTTAGCAAAGTAATTTCTAATATAAATATTCACTTCTACCAGTTGCTAAGAAGCCCTTCTAGTATTCATCCTAAAGTAGGTCAAATTTCAGTGTCTACTGATTTACAGAAAGTAGATCAGTTTGATCCATTTACAGTTCCAACTGTAAGCTCCATCTGCCATGAATTAGATGCCATTTCTACTAATGAAGAGGAAAAAGAGAACAAAGCTGAATCCGATATCAAACACAGAACCATAGATTATTAGACCAATCTAGGTACTCACGTAAAAGTATTTGAACAGTTTCTTGAAAACCTGGATAAATCCCCAAAAGAACTTCAAGAAGATAACAAAAAGACTTCCAAAAAACAACAAATCCCCTCCAATGTGGATAACTACTACCTTCAACGATGAATCAAATATTTCAAGAGATATTAAATAAATATGGCAGAACCAGGAATGTATTTTAATGCCCAAAGCAAAATTTCCTTTTCTTGAAAAATAACTGTTAAAAAGATATTGTACCTAAGACTACCAAAGAAGAATGTACAGTTCCTGGAACAATATTGGGAGGAATAAGTGGATTGCATATAAATTTGTAAAATTTAATTTTATACCAAGTCTAGGGGCCCAGTGCACAAAATTTGTGCACTAGGGAGGGGATCCTCAGCCCAGCCTGCCCCCTCTCACATACTGGGAGCCCTCAGGGGATGTTCTACTGATGGCCTAGGCCCTTCCCCTCTGGGAGCAGACCTAAGCCCCAGTCTGGCCTCCCTTTGTGGGAGGTGACCAGGCTGATCAGGGGAAGGCGCCAGCCCCATCACCCTGCTGCTGCAGCCACTGCCAGTCACTGCAGCCCCCAAGGTATTTTCATCAATACAGACTCCAGTCCCTGCACCATGAAAAAAATGAAAACTTTCTTTAAGCATTTTCAAGATGTGTCTTTCAGTGGATATGACATTTCTTTATTTTTCTTTTTATCCTCACCTGAGGATATGTTTCCATTGATTATTTCCCCTTCCCTCTGATTCCAGGCTCAGCCCCTTCCCAAGCCTAAAGCCTTCGCCCCAGGCTTTAAGCTTAGGAAGGAGACAACAAGTGCCCTCCCCCCCCCTCCCCCCCGCAACTCTCCGATTGCAGTCTCTGCCTCTTCCCATGCCTAAAACTTCCGGCTGATGGCCAGCTGGCAGTGACCTGGGTGCCAAGGAGGTTCCCAGGTCCCAGGTATGTATGCAAATTAACCACCATCTTTGTTGGGCTGATTTGCATACTCACTCTGATTGGCTGTGGACATAGTGGAGGTATGATCAATTTACATGCTTCTCTATTATTAGGTAAGAAGATAATTTTAAGATTTCTAATATAAATACTGACTTCTATTGTACAAGTTGCCATATAGAGAGGTAACTGAGCAGTAATACACCCAAGACTTTAATCTCAGCTCACTAGATATAGCCTCCATATTTCTGGAGTGAATATTCTAGGTGAATGAGGGCTTTATTCTTAAGTTAATTATACCTAAAGTGTATATTCAGTCACTTCTTTGCTTACTGATATTTTTATAGGTCAGGCCACATCCCACTGCCCTTCTTTTAAAAATAGTTTTAAACTGAACATCTAAACCAAAACTTTAATTCAAAAGATGTGTTACTAGATAATAACATTAGGGCCTAGTATTGTTTATAATTGTTGCAATTGTAGCTCCTAACTATCAATACTTCCCTTAACAGAACAACTGGAATGATTAGATTTGTCTACATCATAAAGCAGCAGCTTAGAAAAACTAACCAACTTTACCAACAAAAACCTATTATACTTATCAAAACACTTGAACTTTCTATATATCCAGATACTAACATTTAATTTTAAAGTTTTTATTTCTTCCATTGTCGATTTTGTGTGATAGATTCTGAATTGTCAGGTTTCTTTGTCTGATTGTATAACCAATCTAAACAAAACAGTCCTTCAGGTTTGCATTCTACCTTCTGATAGACTCTGGGAAGCAAGCTATCAGGCTGGTACTTTCTGTGATTCATGAAAAATTTCCTTCCTTTGCATTTTCTTTAACATTGTTTTCTCTATAGCAACACCATCTTTTAAAAAAAATCTTTTGGTTTATATAAAACACTTTATAATGCAGTCAACACACTGAAATGTCTTGCATTTCTTTTTCTTTTTCAACTTTTTGAGAAGAACAAAGACTATTGTGCAATTTTTAAAACATCACACACGCAAAGTAGGAGTAAAGTCAAAAGTACCAAAGTCTATTTAAGACACCAATATTTAAGAGGTACCCACAGCAACAAGGAATGATTAGGAGAGGAAGGGGAAAAAACCGAGGACCCTTTTACAGATGTCAAGGGAAGAAAGCATATTAAGGAATGAAGAAATGTCAGGGTAAAAGATAAAAATATCCAGGTACTCCTAAATTCTTCTGATATAGTG